ATGGAAAATGGGCTCATCGAAATGTTGAGTCTTTCCAATGCAAAAGCCGAAGATGGAAGCTTCCCAGTGCTGAATGCAACTCTTGTTGTCCAGTTTGATCCACTGATATGCCACGTGTCTACAGTTAACCGGTTAAGATGGAAAAACTCGGACAAGGGTGAAGATTCTTCGGCCGTGCAGCTTGCATCCTGCGGGGCTGATCATTGTGTGAGAGTATTTGAGGTTAAATGTTCTTAATCTTAACTTTAGACATTGGTTGTATCTTTACATAGAATTATAGGTTAGTAATGTTGTCATATCGACCATTTTTCTCCGCTATACCTATGATGGAACTATTCGCTATATTATTGGAATCAGGATAAGGGTTAATTCTTTTTTTCTTCGTGCAACACATTTTTGTTAACTTCGTCAGCCAGCACTGATAGCTGCAAATTTAATCGAATTAATGGACTATGCCCTACGGTTTCCGCTGCTCGGATTGAGGTTGACCGACGTGAGGAATCCTAGAATTACACGAGTGTGTTAGCTCCGACACAGGAAGATCGACTATTCAAAACTCTGGAAGTGGCAAAAGCTCTATTTGTGGAACCACTATATCAAATTCGCTTCTCTGTGAGATGCGAGCATAATGTTGGATACATTGTAAACTTGAATGACAATACTTGCACGTGTAAACAATTTCAGTTGGAGAGTTTTCCATGTGCGTATGCTGTCGCAATGACTATGTATATATGATTTCCACCACACAGCTTATGCAGTCATTATTATATGGCTGATTTTTGGAGAGCAACGTATGTCGAAACTATATTTCCTCTAAGTTGAGTAGGAAGTTCCTGATTATATTGTAGCACTTAATAATTTGTTGCCACTTGAAGTTCCACCGCGTACTCCTAGTCGTAGACGGACGTCTAAAATACCATCTATATGAGAGTTTCCACAACCGCGTAAGTGTGGGAGGTGCGGTGCTACAGGACATACACGTCGATTTTGTACAAATCAGATCCTACTAAACAATGACTCGACGGATGTGTAGTATCTATATAAATAATATATATTCTCTATTTGTAATATGTTTTTTATTTTCTCAATTTAAATCGAATGTAATTTTAATCACATCGTTTAATTACTCTTTCTAACAACATATGTGAATAAAAAAAAAGGATTGATTTAAATATTGCAATTTAATAATTGATATATTGCAGCAGTTAAATATTTAATTGGTTATGTATAATTTGTTAAGTTTTTCTTTAATTAATTATATTAATTGGTTAAGTAAAAAATTAATTATTTCATATTTAATTACTTATTTCGATTATATTAAGTGACAACGATATATATTAACTGACAATATGGAGAGATTACAGACACAACAACAATGTAAATTAAAATAATACTATTTTGTTAATTATGTTAGTACGTATATTAATTATTTTATATTTAATTATTTATTTCGATTATTTATTTGAATAAAAATAATAGCACTTACTTCGAGTTTGCGTTTAAGTATTTCTTTCATTAATTATCTTCATTTGATATGTATATTTGATTATTTATATTCCTTTAAAAATTATATTTCGTTAATTATCTTAATGTGTATATTGTTTATTTAATATTTAATTGCTATATTTTGATTAATTATATAAATTAAAATAATAATATTTTGTTTTTTTCTTTTAATACAAGTGAGACAACGATATATATATATTAACTGACAATATGGAGATGTTATAGACACAACAACAATGTAAATTAAAATAATAATATTTTGTTAATTATCTTAGCACGTATATAAATTATTTATTTGAATAAAAATAATAGCACTTACTTCGAGTTTGCGTTTAAGTATTTCTTTCATTAATTATCTTCATTTGGTACGTATATTTGATTATTTATATTCTTTTAAAAATTATATTTCGTTAATTATCTTAATGTGTATATTGTTTATTTAATATTTGATTGCTATATTTCAATTACTTATGTAAATTAAAATAATAATATATATTTTTTTTGTTTAAGTATTTCTGTAATTAAATATTTAAAAAAATTATTACATTACAACACGAATCATACTGAAGTAAACGACATTTACATTTCAATAAAATAATATACAATGCACTAAGGATCACAATTATATTCATACAAGTCGCAAGCTAATTTATGTCTCCACATATCAATCCAAAATTGATTACGCATATTATTCATTTCATATTTAATTATTCTATTTCGATTATTTTTTTGAATAAAAAAATAATATTTAATTCAATTTTTCATTTAACCATTTCTTTAATTAATTATTTTAATTGGTTAAGTAAGAAAATTATTATTCAATTTAATTTATTCTTTAAATACTTCGTTAATTATTTATATTATTCATTTCATATTTAATTATTCTATTTCGATTATTTATTTGAATAAAAATAATAATATTTAATTCGATTTTTCATTTAACCATTTCTTTAATTAATTATCTTAATTGGTTAAGTAAGAAAATTATTATTCAATTTAATTTATTCTTTAAATATTTCGTTAATTATGCATATTATTCATTTCATATTTAATTATTCTATTTCGATTATTTATTTGAATAAAAATAATGATATTTAATTCGATTTTTCATTTTACCATTTCTTTAATTAATTATCTTAATTGGTTAAGTAAGAAAATTATTATTCAATTTAATTTATTCTTTAAATATTTCATTAATTATGTATATTATTTATTTTATATTTCATTATTCTATTTCGATTATTTATTTGAATAAAAATAATAATATTTAATTCAATTTTTCATTTCACTATTTTTTTAATTAATTATCTTAATTTGATAAGTAAAAAAAATATTATTCAATTTAATTTATTCTTTAAATATTTCGTTAATTATGTGTATTATTCATTTCATATTTAATTATTCTATTTTGATTATTTATTTGAATAAAAATAATAATATTTAATTCAATTTTTCATTTAACCATTTCTTTAATTAATTATCTTAATTGATTAAGTAAGAAAATTATTATTCAAATATTTCGTTAATTATATATATATTATTGATTTCATATTTCATTATTCTATTTCAATTATTTATTTGAATAAAAATATATTAATATTTAATTCAATTTTTCATTTTACTATTCCTTTAATTAATTATCTTAATTCGATAAGTAAGAAAATTATTATTCAATTTAATTTATTCTTAAAATATTTCGTTAATTATGTATATTATTGATTTCATATTTCATTATTCTATTTCGATTATTTATTTGAATAAAAATATATTAATATTTTCATTTAAGTATTTCCTTAATTAATTATATTAATTGTTTCCATAATTAATTATTTTAATTGTCTTAAAATATATATTATTTATTTCATATATTTAATTACTAAACTTATTTAATTACTAAACATATATTTAAGTAAAAAAAATTAAAATTCTATTTAATTTATCTTTAAATATTTTGTTCATTATCTTAACATATATATTATTTATTTTATATTTAATTATATGTTTTAACATAAAAATTAAAATAAACTCAGGCAAAAAAAAACAAAAAAAAAGGAACCCATTTTTGGACCCGGACTCGGACCAAACCGAACTGAGATGGTCCGTAACGGGCTGGAGCTCGCCGGGAAACTCATTTTTTCATTTTTTTTCAACATTTCAACCTCAAATTCAATCTTTTCTTTCATTTTAACCATAAAAATTGAATTTAACTCATTCAAATCCTAAACATTCAAACTTTCACATATTCAAATAAATTATTTATATAGAACATGTCTAACCTTCCAGAAAATGGCGTTCTCCGGCTGATCGAGGTGCGTCCGTTCTTCGTTGAAGTGGTTCAGGTCCAGGTCGTCCGTAGGCAGCGAGATCCGGACTAATTTTTCCTTTTTTTTTTCTCCTCTTTTTCTCTCTCTATGAAACTTTTCTCTTCTTTGCAAATGAGAATGATATTTTCGACCAAAGAGATTTTGTTTATATATATATATATATATATATATAAACAAAATCTCTTTGGTCGAAAATAGCCATTTCATTTGCAAAGAAGAGAGGAGTTTCATAGAGAGAGAAAAAGAGGAGAAAAAAAGGAAAAATTAGTTCGAATCCCACCGCCTACGGACGACCCGGACCTGAACCACTTCGACCAAGACCGAACGCACCTCGATCAGCCGGAGAATGCCATTTTCTGGAAGGTTAGACATGTTCTATATAAATAATTTCTTTGAATATGTGAAAGTTTGAATGTTTATGATTTGAATATGAGTTAAATACAATTTTTTATGGTTAAACCAGCCCGTTACGGACCATCTGGTTCGGGTCCGGACTTGAAAATGGGTTCCTTTTTTTTATTTTTTTTCCTGAGTTTATTTTAATTTTTATGTTAGAAAATATAATTAAATATGAAATAAATAATATATATGTTAAGCTAATGAACGAAATATTTAAAGATAAATTAAAAAAAAATTTAATTTTTTTTACTTAAATATATGTTTAGTAATTATATATGAAATAAATAATAAATATATGTTTAGTAATTAAATAAGTTTAGTAATTAAATATATGAAATAAATAATATACATTTTAAGACAATTAAAATAATTAATTATGGAAACAATTAATATAATTAATTAATGAAATACTTAAATGAAAATATTAATATATTTTTATTCAGATAAATAATCGAAATAGAATAATGAAATATGAAATCAATAATATACATAATTAATGAAATATTTGAAGAATAAATTAAATTGAATAATAATTTTTTACTTAATCAATTAAGATAATTAATTAAAGAAATGGTTAAATGAAAAATCGAGTTAAATATTATTATTTTTATTCAAATAAATAATTGAAATAGAATAATTAAATATGAAATGAATAATATATATAATTAAAAAAATATTTAAAGAATAAATTAAATTGAATAATATTTTTTTTACTTATCGAATTAAGATAATTAATTAAAGAAATAGTGAAATGAAAAATTGAATTATGTTAGATTGATGACATGCTTGCTAAATGTAACTCTGCAATATTTGTTTATCATCTTTTGCAGGTTTACATTGTTTATTCCTCAAATGGTTGTTTTTTAAATTCACATTGCATTCAAGTACTAGCAACAGTCCACACTTCAATATGAATCTAAAAAACAATCATTTGAGGAATAGACAACGTCAACCTGCAAAAGACGATAACAAAATAACGTCCAATAAGATGCTCAAGTATCTAGCAACAGTCCATTCTTCAACATTATTTTTGCGGCTTCAAATTTGTGAATTCTGACATTTCATATATCTACTCGCTCCAGTTTTCACAAATATCATCCTAAATGGAAACTATAGGGACCACTGGCATGGCAAAACGCTTGAAACCTTCAGTATGTTTCTCCACTTTTTCTATTTTAAAGCATTAAGAATGAAAAATAGAGAATATAAATTCACTTACAATTCTCTAATGACCTAAACTTCAATTATTAGGTTGAGAAGAAGGAAACAGTGGTGGAAGATGGAACTACTGTAAAGGTTTCAGGAGAAGAAAGTGAGTCAGGCACTTTGAATTCCGAACAAATAGAGATGGAGATTGCTCAAATTCTGGAAAAGATTGATCGCTTTACTCAGCTGGTAATAGTCTTTAATACTGAGACACATTGTCTTGTCATGAATTCATATAAGAAAGACCTCTGCTTTCAGAGTGGAAAAATCCCTTGGTTAAATGTTCTAAATTCATTTCTATTAGGAAGTAATGTTTCTGCAATATATTTTCCTGTATGCATGAATCTTATTGTAATTTCATGAAGGTGTCTGAGTTGCTGGAATCAGGGAAGGCAATGCTGAAGGAACTGAGCAATGAATTTGAAGAGCGAGTGATTTTGTGAGTGATTTAAAAGAAGTAACTGCCCTTGTAATCACCAAGGATGAGGTTTTGATACACACTGTGACACTTACCTATTGGCAGAATACACAAGGAACAGATGGAAAAATTGCAGGAGGAAATCCAAGAAGTGCGCTTACTCGATGCGACAAATGAAGAGATTGATACTCTTCTGCAGAATGCTAAATACCTATTTCAGAATACTCATGGTGGAACCTGAAGGTAAGCTTCAATACAAGTTACAAAGAAGAGAAACACAAATGGACTGATATAAGTTGATAAATTTTTCTACAATAAAGACATTGCACCTTTTCATGTCAGCGTGAACTGAATTCTGTGCAGGTCCCTTGATTGGATAAAATGTTTTCAGCATCTCACCGGTTGATCCTTGTGAAAATAACATTTCTAGCACTTGGATTTTGTAGAATGTATATCCGGGATGAGTTTGTATATCCTGCTGTTATGGATCTAAAAGTCAAAATATTTTGGCAGCAGAATTTAGGTTTGAAACCTTAGCTGTAAGCGACTTAAGCATTCTCCTTTTGAATATACTAATATAGGAATAATGAATATGCTGAAATTGGAGCATCTAAATAGTTGAAGGCTAAATGTAAAGCTGGTTTGCACTTTCTGAGAATGAAGTACTTAATGCGGAAGCACTGAATGTAACAGATTATGCCAACACAGAGTTTCTCGTTTTGTTGAACTGTAATTTTGTGAGTCACTTCATTTGATTACAATTGATTCCAAGTGCGTGAGTATTATCCTGATGCATGTTACCATTCAGGGGAAGAAATACATACATTTATCTTGTAGTCGCTTTAATGCCTTAGAGATGCTCTTTTCATGTAACTTTTTGGATCCCCTTCCCCAATTCGGAATTGTACTAACCATAGTTAAGCATTTTGCCGGAATCAAATCCCATTACTGAAGTTTAATTTCTCTGGGAGTCCACTAAACTCTGGATTATTATCCACCTGTTTACGTCCCTGATCAAGGAAACATATCTTTCCCGTTTCTGTTTTTACTATGGGACCGATAATTGATGAAATGTAACTTACTGATTTTTCGATCCCGGCCTTGGTTAGAAGGATGAATTTGTAAGCTTCTCTTCAGTTGATGTCAAAGTTCTAGCTATTGTTACTCTAGTTGTTATACATTATTACGATGTTATTACAGTATTCTTCTTTCAAGACATCTTGGTTTCAGGTATGCAAACATGCTAACATTTTGATGCTTCCAGTTTTTTGCTAACTGTTGCTGGTTATAAGTTTCAGTCAAACATTCTAAAAGTTTTTTTTTGTAAATGTGAAAGAGATAAATTACTGTAATCTTATTTTTGCTTAATTATAATTAGTAAGTACGACCAACGCTTTACAGTACTTCTCGATTCTTTGCAAGTGGTCAACTTCTTCCATAAACATACTCTTACAAGTCTAATGAAACCTTCTTCCATAAACTATGAATCTTTAAGCAGATCTGGTCTATGCTAGGACTACTGTTTCTACTGCAGCAGGTTGAATAATTGGTTCCAAATGCTCCTCTTCTTCTTCCCATATCTCAGGCAGGGCTTCTCTAATATTATGGATGCTACTTAGAGCATAATCTGCTCCTGGCACCAGAGTTTCTCTCCCCACCTGCATTTCATAATTTATTGCATCAGAATAGGTCAGAGAATAATTGGTTAATTTAACATTAGGAAATTTATGGACTCACAATGACTGTGTGAAGTCCAGCAGCTTTTCCACTGGCAATGTTGCGAACACTGTCATCGAAGAAAAGCTGAAAGAGAAAAATGAAAAAACGAACGAACGTTTAATTATCATAACGACATGTTTCACATGCAATACCAGACAATACTTTGTTAAGATTTTGAGCTTCTTTGTTAGAAGTTACTGATTTTTGAGTCTTTTAGTTCACGAACTTATTTTCAAAAAGTATTACTGTTAAGCTCATTATAAGCTTAGCCGAAGATATTCAATTTACGCTTGATGCTATGTAATACTATCCCGTCCACCATTGTAAACATATCACGACAATAGGTAAGTTTTCAGTAATTACCGTTTTTTCAGGATCAACATTTGCTACGGCAATGGCAGCTTCCATTGCTTGCACAGAAGGTTTACACAGAATTTGTGTTTGAACATTTTCAGTCTGTCCTTCATCCATTCCATCTGATCCCAGTCCCACAGGAGGGTTAAGTGTTTCAAAGCATATTACACCATGAAAACAATCTTCCAAACCCAACCTTCTCAAAACTTGAGCCGCATGTGCTTCATCACCATTAGTGAAGATCTAAATTCACCCAAAAAAAATAAAAATAAATTAGAATTAAATTTCTTGAGAGTAAGAACTGTTATAATAATTTCTGAAATATAACTCGTCTACGCTTTTGGCGTACTATTTTCCGTTGGGGCATGGAATGTAGGAGATTGCGAAGTATTGGATCGGGTTTTAGCAGCTCATATGGCAACCTTCCATGGACAAAAGCATGAAACTCATCGTTATCAAATTCATAGCCAAGTGCCTGCAAGAAGTGACACAAATGAGAGTTAGTATTAAAGACTAACTTTAGTTCGCAGGGTAGACGTACGCTAAGTCTATAGAGAATCGTGAACCTAGCATGTCGTTACTAGCTAGGTTTATGTGTCATTTTTTACCTTGACAGTTGAATCTTTGAGGAGAAAATTTTGATAAAAAAATAAATTGGGTCAAATATTTTTTCTGGTATGTAAAAAAATTAACAAGGACTTCAAGTTTAACTTTGAGGTGCTTGATTCAATTGTCATCTCAGGTTACATTTATCAATATCTAATTTTAAGAAAAATTCTATCTCCTATGATTCTATTTTCTTATATTTTCAAGAAAATTTTATTATCTATAGTCCCTTTTTGCAAAATATTAAAAAAAAAAGAAAAAAAATCTTCAAACTTGTCCATATTTTCAAAAAATTATTTGATCTAGACTACCCTTAGCATGGAATAGTGCTATCTAGCATTCGTGATGTTTAGTGCCACTACTACTCTTATTATGGGATCATGAAATCCACACTTATCCAATAAATTAAAGATGCATTTTAATTGATTAGACAAACCTAGGTGGACCGTTGCTGCCGCTTAAGCTAGTGCTAAGCACACTCCTTAGCATCTGAATTAACCGTGAAATAATGATTTATTTAACCAAAATGACATACGTAGAATCTACGATGTTAATCTTACCTTAAGACCCGCCATTGTCGTCCCATATTCTCTATACAACTCCAAGCACATTCTTGGGACTTGACTTTCTTCAATATGCAAGTGGTGCAACATAAATTCTACAAAATAAAATAATATAATCAACAAAATAACGTATGAAGTGCCATTAAACTAGGTACAATCATTGCCAAGAATTGTTACCTTCTATATTCCTGCGACAGGCCAGGTTGATACCTAAGCTCAAGGGGTACAATGTATCATCCATATCTGAGAGAAAAACAAACTCAATATTACATTAAAATTCAACCCTTTAATGTTTTGTTTATGTTTATTTATTTTTTAAACTATTTCAAATACTACAATTTAGTTAGAATAATAAAAGGAAGAAGAATAACATACCAAAGAGTAAGCACTCATACATGGCTCCACTGGACCCTCCCACAGCTTCCATTTTCAGTTGAAGAAACAAAAAAACTTCTTCTTCTTTTAAACTAAAGTCAGAAAAACATAAAAGAAACGAAACTAAGATTACTAAGGAAGTATAATTAAAATTTAATTAATGACATTTCCAAGTTTTGATAGTTATGTTTAATAGCTAATTGACAAGTTATCGATCTCGACTTAGAATACACCTTTTTTTAAAACCATATTTCTAGGGAATATGGTATAAGCCATGATGAATTCTATGCATTAAACTTTGGAATAATACATATGAAGAAACTTTGAAAATATAATAAAATATATAGAGATGGCTAAAATAAGTTAAAACATGATTATAATCACCTTATACAAGGCTGAAGATAGACGTTTTGAATACATTGATTATGAGCCATTGAGGGGCTATTTATACTAATGGAAAGAGAGTAAATGGGAATAATTATGGGAGGCAATTATATAATGCAACTGCTGACAATGTGAACATTCTTTTTCTTCCACTCAGTGGGAGAATTTCTTATGTTCCTATTATTTAGTTGCTTTCTTTGAAGTCTAGGTCCTGTTTGGTATTCATTTTTTTCAAAATATATTTTTTTCTCTTCTTTTCAACCACACATTTCTCATCAATTTACCATTCTAAAATACATTTTTACATGAAAATGAAAATGAGTCTCAAACACCCTCTTAACCTAACTCACATGTGTCACGTCATAACACGAGGAAGAAAGAAGTTCGAGATATTTTACTTTAAATGAAGTGTGAGAAAGACTCCCACTTTAAGCCCCTGTTTGATGTCCATTACCTGAAAATGAAAATGGGGGGAATAATATTTTTTAGAAAAATAAATGATTGAAAAAGAAGGAAAAATTTTCGATTTACGTGTAATATTATTTTATGGAAGATTGTGTGGTTGAAAATAGAAGAGAGAAAAATGGAATGTAATGTAATTTAATTTAAGGGGATCAAACAGGGGCTAAATTACATAATTATGTGTTATCTTATAACAATTTTAAAAAATAATTTTTTAGCGTTAATTAAGAAGAGTAACTCAAACATTTAATATTGTTTTTTATATTTGTAAGATGACAACTTGTTTGAAAATATTAATCCAAGTCCTCATCTCAACTTTTTCAGCATTACTATATTGAATCTTGAAATTCATCTTAAAAAAATTAGATTATTATGAAAATGTCGTCCAAACATATAGAACTTATTCTCTATTTAAATTAATCGCGTGTGATGCAATACGTGTTTGCCTCCGCTTTTGACTAGTGTACTTATTTGGGTGGTGCGTAATAATTTATTCATGATATAATATGAGTGGTGTAAGCAATATGCTGGGTATATCTCCACTTGTCTCCTACTTTGATTAATTAGTAAAAAGATATGGATTTCGGGTGAGAATATTTGGTAGGATTAGTATTTTCATTAGAGAACATATTCTATCACGCCAACGTAAAGAATTAAGATAAAATATATTCTTATTCATATTCCATCAAGAAATGGACATTCTTGAATTAGTGGATTGTTGATAAATTTGTAATAGAGTAATGAAAAGAAATTCATGCACTAGGGTTGATGATACAGTATGTACTAAAGTTTAAAATAAGTAGAGCTGATTTGGAAGGCTAAATTTCGGTTCATCGTTTATATACAAGCTTTTGGGCCAATCCAAGAAAACCAAATCTCAAGTTGTGTCGAATTATCCGTTCAGTGTTCAAGATTAGCAACCTAAGTGGGTTGTGCTTCCGTAGTAACAGAAGAGACTTTCACAATCTATGCTTTCAAAAGATACAAGCAATTTCTACTCCATATATTGCTATCGAGATGCCTTTGGTACATTCTATCATCTCTTGGAACTTGCTTACGTTGTGAGCACCCGGACTTTTTTGAAAATTTGTCCTCTAGAAAATCTAGATTATTCCTTCCCTCTTTGACAAGATACTAGAACACTAGAAGAAATCGAGATAAATGAGATCTTCAGCTTCTCCCTTACTCTTCCAAGTAAAAGAATTTTCTCCCTAAGATGGATAATATTAATTATTCGATTAAAGATTTTATTTATGAAATAATGGTATGTATCCGCCTTGATTGTGACTTGGAGAAATTAGTTAGGTTTTGAAATATTTTGAAAATTGGACGATTTGAATATAGTACATATATTTATTAATGAATGTTGTGTAACCAATCAACCTCACTATCCATTTGTTATTCCCTATTTTGACAATATCTGCAATTTAATATCTTTTACGATTTGAGACTCCCAATTTGTGCACCATTTGCTTCTTCCATTTTTGGTACAAAAGTTTCTTCATAATCTGGTGACCGAATTGCAGATGCCTCCCATCAGAGTATCGATTTGAAGCAAATGTAAATTTCTCAATTCAATCGTATGCATGCTTTTTTAAGATCGCGGCTACTCAGAATAAGTCATAATCACTTACATATATGGGTGAATTCATGATTTATACAAGATCATAGCAATGCAGTACAAATGTCACAACTATTCAAAATGAGGAATGCTATATGTACACCCAAATTTTCCACACGAGTGTGACAAAATGCATAGGTGTCTGCATTGGCTAGTTGAATTTTATTTTTTGTCTACCAGCCAATGAACAGGTGACACATCTGCATTCTGTCACCCATGTGGTAAACATTGGTGTACAAGTAGCATAAATGATTCAAAAAATAGGTTACAATCCTTCATAAAAAGAACTAAATGCACAATAATGTCGCATCAAGGAGCTAAAAATATTTCACGAATCAGAAAAAGTCACAATCGCTTATAATGTGGGCATGAATGTATGATTTATATAAGGTCGGGAACTAAAAAGTCATAATTACTCAGAAAAAATCACAATCACTAATAATGATTTGAAACAGAATAATTACTTCCATCTAACGGTTTATTCTTTAAGCCCCGTCTCGTGTAGCTAAAAAATAGATTTTTAATAGGTAAGATTTTGATAAAAATTAATGAAATATGTAATTGAAAAATTGTAGCTCCCATGAAATACATGATTTTAAAATTAATTGTTAATTTTAACTTATATTTTAACAACAATTTTAAGTCATGCCAAACGGAGGCTAATTTATTTTACATAGAGCTTCATGTAGGTAAAAATAACATGTAAGATATTGTTTGGATGCATATTCCATTGAATTGCTCCCCATCTTAACATGCACTAGAATTGTTAAAAGTAATATTTATAGTTGTTGTATAATGCATATCTAAATTAAATGAATATTTTCATGTGATTATGTGACGTGGCTACTGTTTGCAGATTATATTGTTATTGTATAAATTGATTAATTGTTATTTTTGCATAAATTTTGAATTGCTGTGTATTGTGTTGCTAATTTTGAAAAACAAATTTTTATTCAAATATAATCACCTTAACGAATTGTTATTGTATGTGGTATAATCATACTAACAAATGTTTGTTAAAAGATGGTTTATAAAAATGATAATATCTGCTCTATATGTCTTTATAAAAGAAACAAATAATGAATTTATAATTGTGATAGTTTTTTTGTTAATGATTTAAGTCTCATAAGAATTCATGTGGAGCTCAACAAACTGTAAATTGCTTAAAAATTGAATTTGAGATTTAAAAAAAAAATGGAAAAAATCAAATTCCATCTTGGATTGCAAATTGAACATTTTCAATATGGATTAGTTATTCATCAGAAATGTTAAAATATTTTTATATGGATTAAGTACGTCTATTGGCATCATCCATACTCGTTTGATCATTGGTGTTGGAAAAATGATTTATTTCACCAACATAAAGATGAAGAAAATTTTCTTGACCTTGAAGTATTTAAGCGCAATTGGAGCATTAATTTATGGGTAATTAGTACAAAACTTCCTTACCTTTCGATATTTTTGTGGAATACGTCCTTACATTTCATTTTTTAGCGGATTACACTCTCACCTTTACCTTTTTTTGAGCAAAACGTCCTTTTGTCAACTCCCGGTTAAAATGCTCCGTTAAATCAAAGGGTAATTAGCACAAAAGGTCCCTATCTTTCAATATTATTGTGCAAAACGTCTCTACCTTTTGTTTTTTGGCATAATTAGCAAAAAAGTCCCTACTTTTCAATGTTATTGTGCAAAACGTCCATATATTTCATTTTTTTTGAGCATTTTCACCCATACCTTTCACTTTTCATCACGCAAAAGGTCATTTTCATCCATTTTTTCAATAAAATGATGATTTTACCCTTATATTCAAATAAAACAAAAAGAAAAGATGAATTACCAACTGTAATCATAGTCCTTAAATTTTTAAAAAATTACAAAGAAATCATAAATTCTCAACCACTACCACTTTCACAACCTATCAAGCCGTCAACTATAAATCCACATAACACCACCTTTCAACCACCATGCCCACCGGACTCCACCACCGTAAATGTGGTTGTTTCGGACAAATTGGTGACCAATACTATGGGAGAGGATATTGGGAAGAGTGAGGCGAAGCTGGTGGTGGTGGTGGTGGAGTCCGATAGGTGTTGTGGCCAAAAGGTGGTGCTATATGGATCTATAGGTGGTGGCTTGATGGGGTTGTGAAAGTGGCAATAATGAAAAAATTAGGATTTATCTATAATGTTTTGAAAGATTTAGAACTATGATTGTAATTAATTAATTATTTTTCTTTTCTTTTCTTTTTGTTTTATTTGAATAGGAGGGTAAAATCGTCATTTTATTGAAAAAAGGGATGAAAATGACGTTTTGCTCAATGAAAGGTGAAAGGTAGGGGTGAAAATGCTTAAAAAGAAAGGTATGGACGTTTTGCACAATAACATTGAAAGGTAGGAACCTTTTGTGCTAATTATGCCAAAAAATGAAAGGTATGGACGTTTTTCACAATAATATTGAAAAGTATGGACATTTTAATGGACGTTTTTCACAATAATATTGAAAGGTATGTATATTTTGTGCTAATTACCCTTTGATTTAACGGGAAGTTGACAAAATGATGTTTTGCGCAAAAAAAAAAAAAGTAAAGGTGAGGGTATAATCCGCCAAAAAATAAAAGGTAGGGACGTTTTTCACAAAAACATCGAAAGGTAGAGACGTTTTGTGCTAATTACTCTTAATTTATCTTGCAAATTGCACTCGATTAGACATAATTATTTTTAATAAATCTCCTTTCAAAATATAATTCTACACCAAGTCAAAGATATTAGTGTAGCGTTAAACATATTCTTCGTTGCCTAAGAGGTACTGTAAATATTAGATTATTTTATTTACAAAAATTGGGATCCTCTATAGTATGGTGTGCATATTAACATTATATGTTCGATCCATATTCTGTATGATGTGCCAAATTAAGGTTGTTTGTTCGATCTATATAAAGCAAAATTGCAAATAGGATATTTTTTTTATACATGGAGAAACAAACTATACTTTG